TGGGCTGTTCGTTGGGGCAATCCCGGTGGTGGAGCTGGAGGCACTGGTTCTGGGGGTGCTGTTGCTACTGGAGCTGGAGGTTCTGGGGGTGCGACTACTCAGCCGCGGCCGTCTGCGCTTCGTCACCTTCTCAATCTCCCGCCTGCTGCTACTGAGTTCCCGGTTGCTGGTACTACTCCTTGGTTACTGTTCCCACTGACTGACCAGTCTCAGCCACACCTACTGCCTGGCTCCCCGCTGCCTGCTCCTGCTCCTTACACTGAGGTGACTGTGTCCCTGGCAGCGCGTCGTGAGCCTGAGACTCGTGCGTCCACTCCTGAGCGTCGAGAGCCTGAGACTAGAGCTTCTGTAACTCCTCGTGTTCGCCATGTTCGTCGTCCTCGTGCTCCGGCTGTACCAGGCACTCACGATATGACACTCCGTCCTTCCTCTGTTCCACAGCGTGTTGTCCTGCCTGAGCCTCCCGCGTCCTCTCTTCCGCACGTTCCTGACCCTGAGCATGAACTTGTCCGTGCTGCCAGTCTGACTGTCACTCGTCTCCTTGCCACAGTTGTGACTGACCCTTCCTTTGAGTCTGGTGCTATGTCTGCCTTAGTTGTTGAGCTTGTTAACTTTGCCGCTTTGTGCCGCCTTGACTACGCTGCGAGTTTTGTTTTTTACTCTTCCTGTCCTCCGTCCGTCGGGGGTGAGCTTGCCCTTGGCTGTGACGTTCTTGAGGACAGGCAGTTTGAGCTGGAGTGCCTAGCGGCCGCTGCACCTCATTTTGACACAGTGTAAAATTGACTAAAATAGAAAGTACAAACAATATATATGCAAAACCTAACCCTAGTGCAAGTACAAAATAACACAAGGGAGAACACCTAGACTAGAACTACACAAACTATAGAAATATAGTTTGACACACCCCCATAGTCTAGGTGATGATAGTCTTGTAGAAACAACAAGAGCAAGCAACGATCACAAGACCAGTCCACAAGAACAAAACAAATCTCAGAGTGGAGCTCAAAGTCACCACACACTCCGAGAGCAAGCAAGAGGCCACAATGCCAGTCCACATGCAGGTATATAGCAACTATATAGAGATGCAAGAGTACAAGACATGCAGGACAAGGCATCTCTACGTAAGCAAGTGAGGACGGGCAGGCACAAGGCCAAGCTGGGTGTAAAAACGCTGGTGTTCACAAGGCGGCAACCACACGTACCACGCGGGCCTGGCCACGCTGCTGCAACTCACGCAGAAGGAAGTAACGAAGCTGGATGTGCTTCGCCTTCCCAACCAGTCGGGGCTCCTCACACAACAGGATAGCAGACCTGTTGTCGGCGAACAAGACCGGGGGAGAGCGAGGCCGCTTACCAAGGTTGGTGAGAAGGAAAGACAGCCAGTGAAGCTCCTGAGCAGCCATGGCCGCAGCGTACACCTCTGCCTCACAGCTGGAACCGGCGACAGACGACGCCCGAGTCGACTGCCACGAAACAGCACCTGCCCCGAGGCTAAAGGAGTACCCCTGTGTAGACCGACGCGTCTCCGCGTCGTCGGCCCACGACGAGTCCGAGTAACATGTGAGCGTAACTGGCTGCTTCCCTCCAAGGAAAAGTCCCATGCCTGATGTACTTGCCACATAATTCGCCACCCTCTTAGCCGCGTACCAGTGGGAAGGTCGGTGTCTCCCAGGCGCAACAAAGCGCGCAAGGACGCTAAGAGGGTAAGCTAGGTCTGGGCGAGTGCAGGTCATCAGGTACATGAGACAACCCAGGATATGGAACGCTGGACTCAAATGGCTCGTCCGAAGGTGGAGCCGTGAGCCCATGATCCACACCAAGAGGGGTGAGCTGTACCTTGGAGAACGGGAAGCGAAACCGCATGAGGATCTGCTCGACCATATGCGACTGAGTCAGCGTAATGGTGCGAGCTGCCCTGTCCCTGGTGATCTGCAAACCAAGGTAGTGCTGCAGCTCACCAAGGTCAGTGCAAGTGTGTCTCCTCTGCAGTTCCTCCTTCACGGAGGCCAGCGCGCGTCGTTCGGGAGTGGCGAACACCAGGTCGTCGACGTAAACCAGGACAAAGAACGGGGTCGAGCCACGGCGAACGAACAGTGACGGGTCAGCAGACGACGGAAAGAAGTCAAGAGCTGCAAGGGTCGAGCGAAGTGTGTCGTGCCACTCACGTGGAGCCTGACGCAGGCCGTAGACTGGTCGACGCAGCTGCCACTGGGTCCCAGGTGGGAAAGAGCCAGTGAAGCCAGGCGGGCGACGCAGCCAGATCTGCTCGTGCAGGCTCCCCTGAAGGAACGCGGTGGAAAAGTCCAAGGAGTGCAACTCGTAGTCGCGCTGGGCTGCAATATGCAGCAACACCCGAAGGGTACTCATCTTCGGGGTGGGAGCGAAGGTCTGGAAGAAGTCCACCCCCTCTCGCTGACTGAAGCCTCTCGCCACATAGCGCGCCTTGAACACAGGTGGTGATCCAGGCGGCCACTTCACCTTGTAGAGCCATCGGCCACTGACGACGTTCGTCCCAGGTGGTGGGACTGCGTCGACGTAAGTGCCTGTGGACCTATAAGATGCCATCTCTGCCTCCTCAGCTGATATCCAGTACAAAGCCCAGGGTCCCGAGACCGCCTCGGCGTGAGTGCGAGGGATCGAGATGTCAAGGGCGTCTGGATCCCCCTCAGGGGCAAGTAGCATGGCGCAGAGATGAGGAACAGCCCCTGCAAGGAAACCAAGCTCGAACTGCCTGTCCTCGAGGACCTCCAAGGGAAAGACAAGAGCACCCCCAGAGAACAGAGAACGAGCAGGGCCACACACCACGTGAGCGGTGTAGTCAAGGCGGTGGGAAGAGGCAAAGCCAGCGACAGTGGTAACAAGAGCTGAGACAGATGACAGAGGTGCAGTCGGGTGAGTGACCAACGCGGACAAAACACGGGAGACGACAGGACGGGAGGCACGGAGGTAGTCGGACAACGGGTCGTGAAGCACAGTGAGGGACGACTCAGGGGGCTGTGGAAGGACAGGAGGAGGTGGAACACGAGAGCGAAGAACAAGGTGGAACGGACCGTCTGCACGGTAACGGGACCGACGACGCTCTGGGGACACAGCACGACTGAGGGGAGAACGACGAGTCCACTGGGACGAGGAAAGGGACTCAACAGGGGGAACAGGAGGGGACGGTAGGGGACCACGAACAAAGCGTGCAGGTTCTAGGTCGGGGAGGTCGCGTAGTCGCAGTCGCTGCTGCTCCGCCTCCTCTGGCGTCTGCTGCGACGGTACCGGCCCCTGCTGCTGCTCCTGTGGCTCCGCCTCTGCCCTTTCCTGCTGCGACTATAGCTGCACCCGCTGCTGCGACCGGGACTCCTATGCTACCCTCTCCTGCTGGGTCTGTAACTGCACTTGCTGCTGCGGGTGGGACTCCTGCTCTACCCTCTCCTGGTGCTGCCGTGACTGCTCTTCTACTCTCTCCTACTGTGTCTGTAACTGCACCTGCTGCTGCGGGCGGGACTCCTGCTCTACCCTCTCCTGGTGCGGCCGTGACTCCTCCTCTACCCTCTGCTGCTGCGGCTGTGACTCCTCTTCTACTCTCTCCTGCTGCTGCTGCTGCTGCTGCTGCTGTGCCCTCTCAATCCGCTCACGCTCCTCCCTTTCCAACCTGAGGAGACGCTGCTCACGGGTCAGGAAACGTACAGTGCGCGGTGTAGGCACCACAGTGTCAGTGCCTCCAGCTCCAGCACCCCCAGAACCAGCACCTCCACCACCGACACCCCCGGGGCCTCCAGTACCTCCCGCAAGAACACCCCCAGGCTCCGCAGCAACCGGCCGCAGAGAAGAACAAGGAGGATACTGCGGGATGGACGGGAAGCCAGGGGGTGAGGCGGGGCGAGGTCGCCGACTCGAGGCTGCCGTGTCCTCCACAGAAGTGACCTCCACGCCCACAACCCCTGCACCCCCAGAGCCGACACCACCAGCTCCTACAGCCCCAGTACCCTCACCCTCCGCAACTGCACCTCCCGCACCCCTAGACACGTCAGGTACTGGACGCTGCGGGGGGGACGACTGCCGAGTGACGTGCGACACACCTGACGGGGCAGGACGCAAAGGGGGGGGGGCTACCGGGGCGACTAGTGAGGGCTCAAGGGTGAGGAACAGCGGGGGGGGAAAGGCCTCAGTACCTCGGTGGGGGCGACTCCTGTAGTAACAGACAGACTCGTCGAACGTGACGTCCTGAGAAGCGAAGAACAGGTAGGTGACCGGTTCGTAGAACACCCAGCCGGAGGCATCCAAAGGGAACTCAAGAAAGACGCAGGCACGAGTGCGCGGAGACAAACTTGTTCGCGCCAGGGGCGCGAACGTGAGCCAGAGAACCCCAGACATGGAAGTCAGCTGCTACGCCCGGAGAACCTGTCCAAAGGGAGACCGGTGTCACCCGTGGCCGTGCGTCACTGGGCCACATGTTCAGCTGGTGCGCGGCGTAGCGGACTTTAACAATGACAATGACAATGCCGCCATGGCCATGGCGGAGAGCTTTAACTACGTCAATGTGTATCAATTTCTTGCCTGATACTGACATTGAAGCACTCGGTCGGTGCGCGGCTTTAAGCTCTACACAATGGTGTCCTTTTAGTGTTCATTACGGGAACCTAAACACCACTTATAAGAGTTCCAGGCTACCGACACTGTTTCATGCTACATCAAGGCATTTTAATACACAAGGCTATCACCAAGGCTTCAAGCTACTCAATGGAGATCATCGCGCTTTGTGCTTGGCATTGTCAACAACTCGCGTCACTACCAATGCTGCCACTTTCTATGTTTCACCGATGCTCGAGGTTCCAAACCAACCTGGCTATCTGGCGATCCCTAAGGTTATGTTTCCCCTTCCGGGCCTTGACCTGCAGCGTTTCAGCTTCAAGCATAAGAAGTATAAACAGTCAGCGTTTCCGTTAAATGTGCTGAGTCTGGCTTGTTTCTCAGCCTTCAGCGGGCTATCAAGCTTCTCTCATCATCGCACTATGGGGAAAGGTCGCAACAACAAGGCCAGCAAGAAGGTAGTCGACAATGGCCAGGAGAATGGAGTGCCTGACGTACCTGACGTACCTATGAAGGATGCTGCTGATAAAGGGCGAGCGCCGTCCTCTTCCACGACGCCTGTAGTGCTTGGACCTTTCGAAGACCTGCTGGACCTGCAGACCAAGGCTGATCGCACCGACGGACAAGACGGGGATGGTGCTGATGGTGTTGACGAAAACGCCGCTAAAGATCGTACGGCTGCCGATGAAGAGGTCGATGCGGATGCGGATGCGCAGGAGGACAAGGAAGCCTCGTCGGACCAGGCTCCTGATGATGACGATGACGGTTACTTGAGCGACGACTCAGACGAACACCTGGAACCGGACTCGCTTGGTAGTATCATTGCTTTGAAAAGATTCTCGCTAACTTTGCTGGTGCCGATTCACAGGAAGCCTGAAGTCAAGCGGGCCGCTGTAACAGTGGCTGCCTTGCTGGATGACTGGAAGGAGCAGCTGTCGCCTGATGTGCTGCAGACAACGACCTATCAAGAGCTCACGGCGACTTACTTTTCCAGCACGCGTTATGGTCGCCTTCAAGTTACCTTCAACCATGTCAGGGACGCGAACTTCGTCTGGGGTCAGATCATCAGCCATGCGTGTGTGAACGGCGACATCGTCGACTTTACCTGGCAGCATCCTGAAGATGCGCGCTTCCTACGTGAGCGTCTGCTGAATCCGACGGCGAAAGAAGTTGTTGTGAAAGGGGTGCCTGCGGAGATCACTGCTGAATTAATTCGTCACCTGCTGGTGGTGTCGAAGCTGGTTAAGCGTGGCAGGAGCGCATTCGCCAGTGGCTTCGGCTTTCATCGTACTGTCGACCCGGTCACTGGGCTGGACACCGATTGCATTCGCGGCCTGGTTGTCCCTCACGCTGATGATGAGTACCGGTGGAGGTACTTTGTGGAGGACCCGTCGACGGGAAGGTGTTACATGCTTCACTTCCCGTCGCTTACCTGCGAGCTCTGCAGCGGTCAGCACCTGTCCCGGTACCATGACCATTACGTCACCTCAAGGCAGGAGAACTTCACCAACTGGAACCTGACGGTCAAAAAGGTCCATGACATGAACGGTATAAGCAGAGCGACCCCTCACCTTCCGCCTTCGCATTCGCTACCCTCACTTTCCTTCCCGCTTACATCGCGTTTCTTAAACCGTACTGACGGCTGTCTTCTCACCTCTCCCCGCAGCGGCTTCCCTGAAAGCTTCAGCACCTCTGAAACGCATCCTGAAAGACCCCGCAGTTGTACTCACCTCCACAGGGGGTGTGTGGGAGGAGTGGGTGTGCGTACAGACCGTGTGCGAGAAGGCTCAAGGGAATCGTTTCGAACAGGCGGCGGCTCATGTTGCTTCTGCTAGGCACAAAGGAGGGCTGAGGAAAGACGGTGCTGCAACGCGTGCCAGCAAGCACTCTCAGAAGATGGCTGCCTTCAAAAAGGAGTTCATGGCCCCGCCGGCAAAGAAGTGACCAGCGGCTTAGTGGACGAGGTGTTGATGTGGATTGTTGGTGCAAGCTGTGTAGTAGGTGCCATGTTCTCCTTCACTGCAGCAGGATGTATCGTTGCAATAAAGCTTAATTGCCCGTGGATGCTGTGGGGCTCAAGGAAGGGGGTTAATGGATAAATGCAACTGCTTAACATTTCTCGAGCTCAACATCAACGGGCTCGGTAGCAGCGGAAAACAAGAGCGATGCTTGAAGTGGATTAGGAAGGCAGCACACATAGTCGTACTCACCGACACACGTGTCTCACAGGACCATAATTTTTGGACGCAAGTTAGATCTGAAGCTCAAGCAGTGGTTGGCCCGTCGCAGAGAGCCGGCGGGGTGGCGGTCCTGGGCTTCCTGCCAGGCATGCGTTTTGCAGACGTTGTTAAGCACGAGTCCGGCCGCCTCATCAGTCTGATGATCGCATGGCGTGATCTGCGGTGCAGAGTGGTGGCAGTGTACTTACCCGCGCAGGCACCCGCTAGGGGGGTTTTCTTCCATGATGTACTAACACCCTTTGTGCAGAGCTTAAGCGCCTCTCCGTACACCATACTCCTCGGCGATTTGAACATCGTAGCGAACCCGGAGCTTGATAAATCCTCAAAGCTGGGAACGCCGGCGGAAAATCAGAGACTCTTGCAGATTTGCTCGAGATGGGATTTGCAGGACGCTTTTCGAAGCCTCCACCCAACCAGGAAGGAGTACACTTTCTTCTCAAGATCTGCAAAAAGAAGCACAAGGATCGACAGAGCTTTAGTTTCACATTCATTACTCAACTGCGTAACGGAGGCAAAGCACAGAATGGTACCATACGGTTTAACGGACCATTGGTTTGCGGTGATGGTATCGCTCAAGTCAGCATCGGCAGATGATCATGGTCCTGGGCTGTGGAGGCTTCAGGCGCCTCAAGCTGGGGGTGAAGGCGTCAGGAATATCATATCGGCGGTAGTGGATGCACAGGCGAATCAACCGGAACAAGGCGTGGAGAGGCTGGTGTCGAACCTACGAGCAAGCATGAGGGCTCACGTAGCAGAGGAAAGGAAAAGGGTTAAGGCGACCGTGGTACTCCTGGAGAGGAAAGTGGAAGAACTCAGATGGAAGGTGATGGCAGATCCTTTGTCGCAGGCTCTGTACGAGGAGCTGATTAAAAACGAAGCGGCTCTCAAGCTTTACCAGGACAGCAAAAAGGAGCGGCTGAAAGTCCTGTCAGGGTTACTGCAAGAGCTGGCGGGTGAGACCCCATCAGGTTTCTTGTCGGGCCTGGTTAAGTCAAGAAAGGCGAAGACGGAAATAATGGAGCTTACATTCAAAGGGGTGCTGAGGAAGGGTGCGAGTGAGGTGCTGCAAGCGGCTTCGGAGCACTTTCGCGAGGCCTACGCGTTGTCGCCGACGCCCTCTCCTGTGGAGCCGTGGCCGATTGAAGAGGGAAGGATGCTACAGGAGAACGATCGCTCGCAATTAGACAAGGAATGGTCAGAGCAGGAGGTGAAAGCGGCGCTCAGAGGCTTACCGGCGGGGAAGGCTCCGGGGCAGGATGGCTTGCCGAAAGATTTTTTCAAGCGGAACTGGGGGCTGCGGGGTCCGGCGGTGATGAGGGAAGTCAGGGTCTTTGAGTCGATGGGCGTGCTTTCGGAGGCCTTCACAACGGCGGTCACGATCCTCCTGCACAAAAAAAGGAGACAGAGACGATTTGGGTAATTACCGGCCGATCACACTACTGAGTTTCTTCTACAAACTGCTGGCGAAGGTGTTGACGAACAGAATCAAGGTGGTCTTACAAAGAGGAACCAGTTCGGTTTTCTTCCGGGGAGGAGTCTCGCCGACGCGGTCTCACAGGTAGCAGACGCGATTGACGCTGCGGAGCAGGAGGACGAGGACTGGCTGCTGTTGTTGGTTGATTTTCAGAAGGCCTACGATTCGGTATCACGGGAGTACCTCTTCACGACGCTGGGCAACATGGGGTTCCCGAGAAAGTTCACATGGTGGGTAAAGGGTCTTCATGATGGAGCGGCAACCAAGGTGCTGCTGAATGGCTGGATAGGGGAGCAGGTGGAGATGGCCAAAGGAGTGCGCCAGGGCTGTCCGCTCGCCCCATATCTCTTCCTCTGTGCGGTTGAGCCACTCTGCCAAGAAATAGAACGGAGGAAGCTGGGGGTCAGGGAGAGAGGCGTGAAAGGGAGTTTAGCCTACATTGGGTATGCAGACGACACGACACTGGTCCTAAAGGGCAAGGAGCAGGTAGGGACAGCTGAGAAACTGCTTGGGGAGTTTGCGGAGATTTCGGGGTTGAGGGTGAACCGTGATAAAACAACACTGATGCCATTGGGGAAAAACTTAAGGAGGCTGCAGCCGATAGTGTCGTCTTTCAAGTGGGCGAATAAGAACACGTCGGAGCGGCTGCTTGGAATCTGGATCACCTCCGGAGGCTCACCGGGACCTGCATGGGACAAAGCTTTCGAAAAAGTTAGGGCAGGGCAGCGCGGTTAGGGCAGGGCAGCGCGGCTAAGTAAGGGCAGGGCAGCGCGGTTAGGGCAGGGCAGCGCGGCTCGGCAGGGCAGCGCGTCTCGGCAGGGCACATCGCAGCAGTGCGTGTAGTAGTAGCAGTGACAGCAGCGCGCTTAGCAGCAGCAGCAGCAGCAGTGCATGCACCAGTAGCAGCTGCAGAAGTGACAGCAGCAGCAGCACGCAGCAGCGCGGACGGGCAGGGCAGGCGCGGGCAGCGCTAGTAGGGCAGCGCAGGGCTAGTGCGGGCAGCACTAGCAGGGCGCGTGGTCTGGGCAGCGGGGCGCACGGGCGCTGGGCAGCGGGGCAAGCAGGCTGGGCAGCGGGGCACGCGCGTTGGGCAGCGGGGCACGCGGGTTGGGCAGTGGGGCACGCGGGCTGGGTAGCGGGGCACGCGCGCTGGGTAGAGGGGCGCTCGGGCTGGGCAGCGGGGCGCGCGGACTGGGCAGCGGGGCTAGGCAGTAAAAATCGACGTGCCTAGGGCGCGTTTTGGGCAGGATTGCAAAGTGATGCACCTAGGGGCGCGATTCGGGCAGGAAATTGACGAGTTAACGGTGGGCCCTTTTAAAAAAACTGGTCCTAAGGACCTAATCGCTTTTCATACCATGTTAGAAGATGAGGAAAGAAGAATGGATGACGATTAGGTTGGGGAGGGGGGTACAAGTAAATTGACGAGATGGGGAATGTACTCCCTAAGGCTAGAACCTATGTAGCCTACAGATATATGTTAACATATATGTTTTGACAATACGGTAAGTCAATAAACAACGAAACTCCTTGATTTGTTGAATTTTTTAGGGGGGGCTTTCAGGGTACGGGATTCGAAACATGTTTCACATTCAATTGCACGGTTCTTTATGATTCTCTGATGTGTTTCCCTCGTCCCTTACTCACCTATGGCCACTTCTAATTCTCTTAGTGTTTTCCAACACTCTTTCTTCACCATCGTTTGAATATTTTCAGATTTCAGTTATGCTTTCCAGCACCCGTCCGTCACCCTTCCTCCCATATTTGCCATGACCTTATCCCCCATAAATGCGCTTCGTGCGCTTCTCACTCTTCCTCTCAGACTTGCTATTCGTGCTCCATGGATGTGCTTCCATGCATATATTTAGCGACATGGCGTTCAGCTTGGGAGGCATCGTGTGGGTTAAACTTGGTGGAATCCTGGGGGGTTGGCCATCACACATCGTGTCACTACTTTCGAACGAGCAGCAGGAAGAGGAGGGCCCCCCTCTAGTTATGGACCTTCTAGGGGTCAAGGTAAGTGTACTCAAGACAATGGAGCGAACCCTGTGGTGGAAGGTTTATTTCCAACAAGAAAGAGCTCTTGTGTTTTTAACTGTTGTGCTATTGTGCTTATGGCTGTGTGTTTTTAGCTATTGTGCTTTTAGTTCGTAGAGTGAAGGTATGGTAACTGATTCTGGGAAGGCATGTCATAGATTTGTAAGAGCTACATAATTAGTCGAATCCGTTCAGCTTCTAAGACGAATGAAAAAATATTTATCGGGGAACGTGATGTAAGTTTAATTTCTTGAATGACCTCGAAGTGACAAATTTGAAGTTGCGCTCTTTTTAGAATAGCAATTGTATCACTCATGTAGCGCATTCAATGTGGAGACCTGGCTAGAGAAGTCTGTTTCAGCACTGGGAGAAGCTCGTCTTGAAATGAATAAGATCGGTTTTGAAAGGTTAGTGGCCCCTGGACATAGCAAGTGTGCTGCAGAGCTATGCATATCAGTCAAGGCAGAGACTTTTGAATCAAGCGAGGTGCAACGGCAACACCTGCTTCTGAAGCTGATAGAGCAGGTGGAAATGAAGCTACCGCAATTGCGGAGATACCAAGAGAGTGACCACCACCACCACCAGCAAGAGCAGCAGCAGCAACAGGAGGGCGAGCAGGAGGAGCAGGAGGAGGGCAAGCGAGAGGAGCAGGAGGAGGGCGAGTAGGACGAACAGGAGGAGGGCAAGCTGCGTAGATAACTAATTAAACGGGACCTAGATTACGGGCTAGGTATGTGAATCAAGAAAACAGGAATGAAATGACTAAGTGAAAGTTGGGTACAAAAGGCAAACCCTAGGCAACTGTACCCCATATGTGCTACCCCACTATAGCCTACAGTAGCTATGTCATATAACTCTGACACACCCCCATAGGCAAAGTGGGGGAGAACAAGGGGTCACAAGACCAGTCAAGCAAAGCAAAGCAAGCTCAGGGTGGATCACAAAGTCACCACACATTCCGAGCACAAGTTCAAGGCCACAAGGCCAGTTCACATGCAGGATTACATATATATATAAGGCTAGACAAGCAAGAGCAGGTGTATATATATATGCAACAGTACAAACAAGGTCAAGAGGTGAGCAAGTGAGGCAAGGTAGGTACAAGACCCAGCTGAGTACAGAAGCGCTGATGATCACAAGGCGCAAGTGCCTTGGTGAAGATATCAGCAGTGTTGGCCTCAGAGGCCACGTACGCA